TGGGCGTCCAGACGATCCACAGCGTGAGGACTCTGAAGGGGAAGAGGCTGCAGAGAAGAGATGAGATACCGTGGCTAGGCGTGACGACGAACCTGGGTGGGTGGGAAGGGTGGGAGAGTGGGGATGGGAGGGTGGGAGATGTGTGGGTGGGTAAGAGGGTGGGTGGGCAGGGTGAGAGGAGGTGGGTGGGGGTGGGTAGGGAGGAGGGAGGGATGGGCGGGTGTGAGGCGAGGGTGAGGAGGAGGTAGAGTGGGGAGGGATGGGTGGGTGGGTGTTTGGGAGTAGGTGGAGTGGGTGGGTGGGTGGGTGGGTGGGAAGGGTAGGGTGGGTGGGAAGGGTGGGGAGGGTGGATCTGAGGTGGAAGTGGGAGGGTGGGGTGGGTAGGAAGGGAGGGTGGAGGGAGGGTGGAGAGGGTAGGAGGAGGGTGGGGAGGGGGAGTGGAGGTGGAGTTGGGTGGGTGGGTGGGGTGGGGAAGAGGAGTGGGTTAGGGAGGGATGGGAGGGCAGGGAGGGAGAGGATAGAGGGGGAGGGGGTTGGGTGGGAATGAAAGGGTGGGTGTGAGGAAGGTGGGAAAGGAGGGAGGGAGGGAATGGAGGGTGGGAGGGAAGGAGGTGATGGGGGAGGGAGGAGATGGAGTGGATGAGGAATGGAGAGAGGAGATGAGTGAAGAAGGGAGGGAGGGGAGGAGGAGAGGGGAAAAAGGCAGGGGTATTGAGGATGGGAGGAAAGGGAGAGGGGGAAGGGAAAGTGGTTATCCGACGGGAAACGTGAGGGGTAGGAATAGGGAGAGAGAGAGGGAGAGTGAGGAGGGGAGGAGAGGAGGGAGATGAGGGAGAGGGGGGAGGGGAGGTGAGGGAAGGAGGAGGAGCGGAAATAAGAGAAGAAGATTGGATGGGGGGGGGGGATGATTGGAGGGGATTAAAGGGAATGGAGGGGTGGAGAGGGGGTAGAGAGGGGGATGAAATAGGGGGAAGGTGAGGGGGTGGGGAGGGAGGGGAGAGGAATGAAAAGAACGGAGGGAAGGGTAAGAGGCGAGGGGTGGAGAAGGGGCGGGGGGGGTATGGGGAGAATGGGGGGGGTGAAGGGGTGGAAGGGGGGGGCGAGGGGGAAAAGATGAAAAGAAGAGAAAATTGGTTTTAGTTTTTTGTACACTCTGTAGGGAATTAAGACAATCAATTTATACAATTGCATTTACATCGATAAAAAAATACTATTTCTTGATTCCTTTATTACTAAGCGTCTCTTCTTACATTTTTACCATTATCATTATCACTACCATTATTATAATCACTATATTTATTATTATTACATTACTAATTTATCATCATCATCATCACCATCATTAATAAACTTCATTCATACAATCATTACTATTATCATTATCATATTATCATTATTATAATACTATTATCATATTATTAACATCATTATCATTATTATCATCATCATCACCATCATAATTACTATAATCATCACAATCATTATTATTATCATCACTATCATTATTATTATCATTACTATTATTATCACCATCATCATTACCATCAACATCATCATCATCATCATCACCATCCCATCATCACATCCCCTCCCCCCCCTCCCCTCCCGTTCCTTACCTGCCTCCTCGCCTTCATATTGGGACAGCCCACAATCATCATCACAATCACTACCATCATCACCATTCCCTCCCCCCTCCCCCTCCCCCCTTCCCGTTCCTTACTGCCTCTCGCCTTCATATTAGGCAGGCACCCATCATCAATCACTACCATATCATCATCATCTACCCCATCCCTCCCTCCTCCCCTCCCCCCCCTCCCCTCCCGCTCCCCTACCCGTTCCCTGCCTCCTCGCCTTCATGTTGGGCAGGTCCACCTTGGATGATGCAAGGCAGCCGAGGCCGAGTCCTGCATGAGACTCCTGCCGAATGACCAGGTAGAGGAGCACCAGGAGCACCAAGGGCACGAAGAAGAAGACGGCCGTGACCAGGTTGATGTAGAGGCACGACCACAGCGAGGTCAGGTCAGTGAAGCACACGGGGACTGTTGACCCGTCGGCGTAAGGGACCCACTCGTGTTTGCTCATGACTAGCATCGGGCTGGGGGAGGGAGAGAGAGAGAGAGGGAGGTGGTGAGATGGGAGGTGAGGGAGGTGAGGGAGGTGAGGGAGGGAAGGAGGGAAGAGAAGAGAGGGAGAGAGAGAGAGAGAAGGAGAAGGGGAGAGGGAAGGGAGGGTGAGAGAGAGAGAGAGAGAGAGGGAGGTGGTGAGATGGGGAGGTGAGGGAGGGAGGGAGGGGGGAAGGAGAGGGGGAGAGATGAAAGGGAGGTGAGGGAGAAAGAGAGGGAGGAGGTGAGATGGGGAAGGGAGGAGGAGAGAGAGAGAGAGGAGAGAGAGAGAGAGAGAGAGAGAGAGAGAGAGAGAGAGAGAGAGAGAGAGAGAGAGAGAGAGAGAGAGAGAGAGAGAGAGAGAGAGAGAGAGAGAGAGAGAGAGAGAGAGAGAGAGAGAGAGAGAGAGAGAGAGAGAGAGAGAGAGAGAGAGAGAGAGAGAGAGAGAGAGAGAGAGAGAGAGAGAGAGAGAGAGAGAGAGAGAGAGAGAGAGAGAGAGAGAGAGAGAGAGAGAGAGGAAGGTTAGAAATTGTGGAACACACAAAAAACAAATATATGGAAATCTAATAAACAAAAAATAAGACACCAATGTACAAAGAAAATAGTCACATCATCAAAAACAGAGAAAAAAAACAAACTAGAAAATAAATAAATAAATAAAAAAGAAAAGAAAAGAAAGAAAGAAAAAAATCCGCTCGTTATCCCTTAATCTCCTCTAACTTTATCTCTCTCTCTATCTCTTTCTCATTCACTCTTGTATCTTTCGCCAATACAATAGTTAACGGACA